AGCCGCCACTGCAGCCTACGCCAGCGGCGCTGTGCTTGGCCAAGGCGCTGCAGCGGCGGTGTCGGCTGGCGTCCGGCGTCTGCTGGGTGGGTCATTGGGCCCAGTAGGTGGCAGCAGCGTGGTGGGGAGGCGGGCGCGTTCAAGCTGGCGGCACAAGAAGCAGGTGGAGGAGGAAGCATGCGCGGAGGGTCTGAGCGAGTGGCAGGTGCGTACATCCGCCATTATGCTGGCAACTAGGGTGTTCTTTAGTTTTCCAGCGATCCGTGGTGCCTTGGCGGCATGGTGGGGCTCTTGTCACTCTTGTTGCTTGGTCACTACCACACAACGGGCCTCGTCTATTCTCACCAGCTCGTCTCCACCTTATTCCTGAACGCCGCCAGCTTGCCTGTCTGCAACATGATCTGCCTGGAATATCGCCCAACACTCAACAACAGCAGCGCTCTGGCCAATGCCACCCACCTGCGCGTTCATTCATTTCCAAACTGCAGGTCAATGCGTACTATGCCGGGGGCCGTGTGCTGGTGCCTGCACTGCTGGACGTGTTCACTACCCAGGCCTTCTTCCGCTGGCGCGAACTGCAGGACCTCATGGGGGAGCTGGCAGGTTTGAGTGCATATCAGGGTTTTGGAATGGGTCGGGGAGTACTGTTCCGCAGATGAAGGGACCAAAGTTGTGGAAACGTAGCACTAGCTTCTCAACCTTTCCCCCAAAGGGCGCGCAACCCATATCTGCTTGTCATTTCACCAAGCGGCATCCACAACCAACGCGACTCTGCAGGTGACGACGGCCGCCCTGGCGGGGCAATGCTTCACCAAGTCCCAGTGCCACTGCCCTTTGTTGGCCGTACTTACGGCGAGCTTGTCGCTGCTCTGCTATTGTTGGGTGGTAGTGGCAGCAGTAGCAACGCTGGCGGAGGCAGCGCAAAGGCTAGCTTGGCAAGCAAGCCACATGCAGCGGATTATGCACCGCGGCCAGCGCCATGGGCGCACGAGGTGCCTCTGGGGCTTCTACGGCGCAAAAGCGAAAATCGTGGCTGGAGGTGCGAGGGGTGTTTGAAAGGCAACGAGGCAGGCGCTGCCCTTCTGGGTGGGCACTCTATATACCTGGTCGGATGGCGGCGGCAAGCTTACAGAGCCAATGCTGGAGCGTTTGCACACACCATTCAGCTCACTGCATGCACAAACCCAGCAGCCTCTGCCAATGCCATGCACAAACAAACATTATATTATGTATGGGTGCGCCGTCTCCCCTGTCTCTCTTCTGGGATCTTGTAACACTCCTAATCCTAAATCCTAATCCTCCCCCTGCTCCCAGGCTGCCATATGTGGCGCTCCATCCAGACCCGACGACTATCCTGGGGGTCACCGACTGCGTCTTCTTGGTGCGGCCGCGCACATGACAACAAGGTGTAGCGGCATAAATAATCCAGGGAGTCGCAATTGTCATGGAAAACGTACCTGTGCAAAGACATATCAAGTAGTTTTGCGTGAACAAACTTCCTGCATCGCCTGCTGGTTTTGAGTCCCCACACGCTGCCCTTACATGCACTTTGCTAGCCTCGCGTAACATCAGCACTCACAACATATCAATTCTGCTCTGATTTCTCCATGTGGTACACAAGTATTTTGCCAAGTTGCAACTTCCAGACCTGTTTTGGTTTTCACTTGTGCAAGTTGCACCGCCGCTTGCCCCAAGCTTCGCATCGCTTTGCGCACGCTCTCAACCGCCGTTGCCTGTGCTTCCCTTGCAACAAATTGAGCATGCCTTCTTACCTTTGAATGACCCGCCATCCTTCTGCAGCACAAGAGTTACTTGGGCAGGGCTGGGGCCGTGGGTTGACCCTTGTGAAGGCATGCTGAAGGCTAGTCGGGCAGGGCGGGGTTGGCGGTTTCACCCCCTTGGAGGCATGCTGACGTCACAAATTCACACCCAAATGACCAGGTGACACTTGCAACATGGTACAAGTGATG